TTGCAAACAATAAATCATTACATCGAAGGACATTATAAAATATTTGCAAAATAAATTTAGACACATATTTAAAAATTATAAAACAATTAAACTAAACTGAATAATTAATTACTTATATGATTTCTAATAAATTTTATTTAATTATGCATAAATTTAATAACAGGAAATAAAATAAAATAATTCTTAGCAACATCTATATTACTAACTTAATTATCTAGTTCTTATTCATTAATTATAAATTAGCTTTTATGCAAATTGCATAATAAAAATAATACTTATATTATATAATCAGTATTATATAAGCTATATATAATTAATATAAATAAATGGCTTCATAAATACCAATTAACGTGTTTTTCTTAGGCAATTGCAGCAGTTCTATGAGTTCATGGATTTTTGCATTGATTTCATTGCAATTCATGGCAAATATTCTGCCGAAATATGTGAGCAGTTCACCGATCGTGAAGTCCTGATACAGGGCTAACTCCTGCGGCATATACCCCACACCGGCTCCGGGAATATGACATTTCTTAGGCCTACCACCAAATATACTGATCACACCGCTATCGGGCTTCAGTCGACCCAAAATACACTTCAATAGAGTGCTAACAAATAGCGAACAATAAATATATACATCAAGAATATGCATCATAATTATATTCTGCATAGACTTACGTTTTGCCGCAACCACTGGGCCCTAACAGGCCGTATATCCTAGCCTTGGGTACAGTCAACTCAATTCCGTTCAGAATTTTGTCGCAATTATTGTATGAAAAGCACAGATCTTTGATGACAACGGCATCCCTCAAAGCGATGCAATTGTTTTTGACAGTCATTTCTCACAGTAATTGAGTGCCCAATGAGTACCAAATCAAATGCCAATTCCGTGTATCGATAGCAACCTTAAGCACCGATTCTGTGCTTTTATAACATAATTAGATTCCTATTATAGCGTGTATTATAGCATTTTTTGTGGCATTATTTTATCGGTGAATTAAATTCTCGTAAAATAAACACAAAAAACTAGTTTTGTGAGATAAACAGTGAGAAAGTGTATTACATAAGCGAATCTTATATACAAAAACATATACACATATCAACACAACATACTGTGTATATTGAATAATGTTAAGTAATAGAGCACAGGGAGTATGAGTGGAACTCCACCATTGATCCGATGCCCTCACTAATGGTATGATCTTAAGTATGGGCGCAAACTCTGCGCACTGAGGATAATGCGACTACCAGTGCTCTGTCTATTCAACTGATTAATGGATATTTAGATTTATGTTACATAACTGGGAAATAAAATAGTATAATGATTAATTGGCATAAATATGCACTGATTTGTGCAATTTGTGATTACGGGAAATTAATCATAGATGTA